TAGGTAATAGTCGGATTATTAGCCCTTAACAAAAATAAAACCGTTGCTTTCGAGTTACAGCAGTTATACAAGAGCATGTTCGCATGGATGTTATCGGTAAAATTTTAAAGGGAAACCCTCTTTGTTGTGTAACAGCCCAGTAAACAGCAATTACTGCTTCGTACACCTGCAGCGTTATTATTATTTTCTTTTTATTGGGTTCCGAGTGGAGGAAACATATTTTGCGGGCGAAGTTTTAGAAATTTCCCGATCTCGATACCGATGTGCATCGACAATGAAAACAAAGAAATATAAATTGAGAGAACGGAATAAGAAAAACCAGTTTCATCGACCGTAACGAAAAGATCTACAATTTTATTAGTTCTTTTTTCTTGTAATACAAAATACGTATGCAGAGTTGTTACGTAGAATAGGTATTTAATTTATGGGAACAACAACGAAAATAGGTTTGCGTTTGGTTTAAAGTGATGGAACAAAGTTATTGGGAACTTGTGCGAGGGGTGTGCCTTGCAAGTTTGTCATTTTGCTTTCCGTTATGCGATAAATTACTACACGAAAAGGTAGAGGCCTCAGGTCTTTCACCTGAGGTCTTTACCCTCCACCAATACGGGCATCAGTTATCCGAGACAATGTTCATGACCCTTCTTTAGCTTCACCCCCTTAAATAGTATAAAGCAGATACAGAGTAGAATGTAAACCAGTTTCGGTTAAGCTCAGAAGAAGCCAACAGGAGATTTGTAAATAGCAGTAGCCCGATTCTCTGAAAAAAAAGATGTATGTTTTTCGAAATGGCTATGATGTTCTTTCAGTCGTTTTATAAATTGTTGTGTAATTCTAAAAGCACAATAATTAGACAAATGAAATTATTATGAAATTATTTATAAGGCTAGACGTAGTCTTTGTGCCAAGGCTTCTTCTGTTCAACACAACTACGAAGTGAAGCCACAAATCGCGTTCTGGGGTACACGATGGTAGTAAGACCACACATTACCTACGTGTGTTGAGATTATGTATTATATATAACCTACGTGTGCTGATATATAATGTCAGCACACGCAGGCTATGCTTGGAAGAGGAGGAAACTCCACTTGAAAGTCGCCGACTTACAAACGGAGCTTAATTTATTGAGCCCGTGGGACTATCCAAGGAAACAGGTACTTGCTTGAGAGTCCAAGGCTCTTCAAGGGAAGGGATTGAAGATGTGCGGACATAATTGATCGAAAAGTCTGGGCGCAGGGGCCTGGCAATTAGAACAGGGACGCATGGTACATAGAATAGGAATAGTATAGGTTGTCTGTTATGTCGGGATAGGGTGCGTATGCTTTCCAATATTTATTGGGCATTCAAAATAAAAATGAAACGAAATTTTTTATTTATATCTATATTTATCTAAATTTTGTATTGTAATTTAACTTCTAAAATTGTGTCTATAATATTATTGCTTTTCTTTAAATAACATATTTTTTTAATAATTTTATATTTCTACTTAAAAATTAAAAACCTATGTCACTCAGTATTTTTTAAAGGACATTCTGCTTGATGTTTTATATAATAAAAATGCAATTTGCAAAATTTCAAAAATTGCATATACTTATGAAAAACAAAACTATGAACCTTTCCTTTTGTTAGAAATCAAGATAAGATTCTTTCAAAATATATAATACTTTTTTCTTAATTGCAGCCTAATCCTAAAGAGTCTAAAATGCACTGGTTTTACAAAATCCATGTTTAGCGCAGAGACAACATAAATTGCTGTGAAGGCGTCGAGCTTTAAATTTTCAATTTCGAGAGGGATTCTCCTACGCAGCTGTCCCTTTTTCCGTTAAAATAAAAAAAATCGCTGCGTTTAATCAGGTTATTTTTCTTTTGTTTCTTCCTCTCTGCAGTAATTTAATTACAACTTGTTAAATTTTGATGCTTCCACTATCAGCGCAATATTAATAGGTAAAAGTCACAGAATATAAGGCAGTAGTAGAATTTTATATGAAATATTTGATTCAACTTCTAATTCTTGTTGGATTATATGTAACCATCAAGATTTAAGATAGTTATACGCCTAATTTATTCGTAGACATTTGAGAACGAGAACGTTTTTCACATTCTTTGTTATTATTTCAAATAATATTAGCATTACTATAAAGAAAATTAAAAGAGCTCTGTTCGTTATGTCCATTAAGGCCAGCAATTTGGGTTTCTTTCAATTCAAATCAAATATTTCAACAGTGCTAATGGGAATTTTCTCTTAGTACACAAGATTAATTTCGATGTTGTCCTCTCCTCGACCTAAATTTTCTATCGGGGATGGTTTATTAAAGCTTTCGTTATAATTAATACTCAACCCACGCGTATGGAAACGTAACCCGAATATTTCCCAATTTGTTAAGCGTTCGTTGGAATTAAAATTCAACAAAAAGTTTCATACACTTGGAGGTAATTGATCAAGATAGGGTGAAATTCAGTTCAATTTGGGGACCATTAAACTACCATTTACTTCGTTAGGGCGTTTCTGAAAGGACAATTACAATGCCAGCAAACATATACTTATTTTCACATTTTGGGATACACTTGTTCTTTATTCAAGTGTTTTTTCGAGTCTTTGTTACTTTAACGAGAGAGATGATAAATGAGTCGTTTAATTCTTCGGCGGAATGTCAAAATAAAAACAAAAAAAATACATAAAGTATATCAATCAATAAGTTGCGGATCTATTGAATATTCAGCAAACACTTCTAAACTGCTTTCGTTGAGGACGGCTGAGGTTGTCGTACTCATAGTCGGCCCAATTTTCACCATTTTTGTTCAACTGAAATTAGAAAATGAAAAGACTGGATATATAAAGATTCTCATCGATTGTAATACTTAAAAATTTAACAATTTAACACTCTCAGACTGGTCTACTGGACATTCATCTATTTTGAAAATGAGACCAGAGCATATTTAATAATAATGATACATAAAGCATATTGGATAGAAAACTAGAAAACTTCAGATACAATAGGGGTTGACACTTTTACTCGTACGAAGAAAACTCAAAGCTTTACAACTTGAGATGCTTAAAGCCCGACGAAACTGTTTTGATGTTGCTTACTTTCCTTTAGAAAGTTGTAAATTATCTAGTGGAGATCTTTTTTTGTTTAATTTTTTATTATTTATTATTTTTTATTGTTTATTTAAGCTTCCAGGCAAATCCATATCAGGTACGAATGAGATTGCCATTTTCTGTTGAGCGGTTTAGCCCGAATTAATTTTTTAATTCCACTATAATAAGATGTGCTCGGACTTACCATATTTAATTGTATTTTTGAAAACGGCATACATTCAGATAATTTAATTTAAGTCTTAATTTATTTAAAACAAACGAATAAAAACTTCTTTAGCTCGTAGTTATAATTTATTTAAATAAAAGCTTTTTTTCATTGTAACTAAGGGAACTTTTGATATTATTTTCATTCTCATCATCATCATCCTCATTGAAGCATCCATGGACTTCAATTGCATATATAGGGTGCATACGGTATTTGAGGACATCCATATATGTGTCTGTAATTTGTTTATAACAATTTTTTGATTTTTTTTCTGTGATTATCAATGGAGGACTATAAAGATTTAGAAATCGGCATTTTTCTCAACTGCGTCCGATCATTCTTGAATTAGATGCAAGACCTTGCGAGGGATCTTAATGTCTATTCGCAGAAGACAGTTTATGTCGGTACAAACTCGGAATCAGAGATTATACATAAGATTGGATGATCACATTACCCCAAATTTATGGCCACCTAGCTCCCCGGATCTTAATTCCCTCGATTATTACGCATGGGGCGTAGTTGAGCAAGAGAACAATAAAATTCCCCATAGCACTGTTTCATCGCTGAAGCATGCTATAACAAACACAATGATCAACATGAAGAAAGAGCATTTGCCGCTAATAGGGATTCTATTGAATAGTTATATAGTCTAAAAGTCATTTAACGTTATGTAAATATTCCATGGAATTATAATAAATCTTGCAATAAATATGAATAAATTTTAATACCATTTTGTCATCGTACGCACCCTGTAAATATAGTTTTGTTTCAATATAAAGTGGATTGTAGATAATATTGAGTAATCTCGGGGAGGTTATGGTTTCACGTATTGTAATGATGCACATCTCACCTATTTTTGAAATTGTTTGGCTTTTATCTAAGAATAGCAAAAGGAAATAAATAAATATAATGATGTGAAATGATTTAAATAGTTCTGGAAGCGATGTTTTCTGCGATGATCGAGTCATATATCTGACCTTGCGCTTTTGAGCTCTAAACATTTGATCCTCCTCTATATGTAATCCCCAGTGTACAAGACCGTAGGAGAAGATAGATTAAAATCAATCAAAAACATACAAGTTTTGAGATGTCCGTTGTCACGGTGTCTCTTATATTTCGGAGTAAAAAGGAGCAGTGGGAAAGGTTGAAAATGACACTTTTATTTACTTGTCTAATGGCAAATAGCATTTAACGTATTGAACTATATTTTTTTTAGGATACCTTGGTTTTTCAAATAGCACTCTAGTGGGAACAAAAACTTTTTAAAAGCGGTACTATTTTTGCAACATTTTGACACCAAAGTTTTCAAAATACGTTAAAAAATAAGCTCACAAGACGGAAAAAATCAGATAACCAAGATAAACCAGATTTTTATAAAATCAAAATATTATTTAGGTGGCTTTGCTTCCATTCATCATCAAGTCGGCATAATTATCGATTTTAGCAATCCACAAAATAGTCGTCAGAATAATTTTATTGTAAATGAAGAAATGGAAATCAATGTTGTATGATACGTCAATGTAAATCCAGCTGCGTCACTAAGAGAAGTGGCATTAGAATTAGGCATCTCAAGAGAATCTGTGAGGAGAATTTTGAAAAAACACGGCTATCATTCTTTTAACCATAACCTTCATCTAAATTTTTATGAAGCTGACTTGGTAAGATATCTTCTCTTCTTAAGGTGCCATATCCATTTCACTGGATGTTGGCGACAATTCTGGCAAATTCTTCGCGATCCTTTGCGGCTCTAAAAAGTGTGTGGGCATCAAGACCGGTCCAGTCCCTAATGTTTTTGAGCCATGAATTCTTCTTTCTACCGATACCTCGCTTTCCTTCTATTTTTCCCTCCATGATGAGCTTAAGGAATTGGTACTTTGTATTTCTGAAGATGTGGCCCAGGTAAGCTGCTTTCCTTCGTTTAACCAGTTGCAACAACTCTCTCTCCATCCCCATGCGCCTCAGGACTTCGTCGTTGGTGGTGTGATCTGTCCATGCGATTTTGAGCATTCTCCTAAATACCCACATCTCGAATGCTTCCACTCGATTCATAGTGCCAGCCTTAAGGGTCCAGACCTCGACGCCATAAAGTAACACCGAGTACACGTAGCACTTTATGAAGCGGTAGCGTAGTCTCAAACGAAGACTCCGGTTGGTCAGTATGGGTTTCATTTTTATAAACGTCGCCCTAGCTTGTTCGATTCTACCACGAATTTCCATATCTGGGTCTAGGTCCTCGGTTATCCAGCTACCAAGATACTTAAATTTAGAGACCCGCTGTATCCGTTTTCCTCCAGTCGAGACGTCCAAACGCACATCTGGTGTTCTGCTTATGACCATGACCTTAGTTTTTTCAACGTTAATTTTTAGGCCCGAGCGTTCTCCCGTCGCAGATATTCTATCGACAAGGCGTTGTAGTGCTTCTTGACTTTCAGCAATAATTACGGTATCATCTGCGTAGCGGAGGTTGTTGACTGGGAGACCATTGATCTTTATGCCATCATCCGTCTCAAAAAGTGCTCGGTCAAATACGGAATCGGAGTATAAGTTAAAAAGAAGAGGAGACAAGACGCATCCTTGCCTTACGCCTCTCTCTATCGGGAAACTTTGCGTGGTTTCATTTCCCACCCTTACAGAGGCTGTCTGGTTCCAGTACAGGTTCTTTATAAAAGAAAGATCGCCCTTATCCACTCTTTTCTCCTGCAGTAGACTCATTAGTTCTGTGTGGTTGACACAGTCAAATGCTTTTTGATAATCTATGAAGCACAGAAAGACGTCTTTTCGTTTGATCTCGGCATTTTTGGAGTAAGATGTTCAAGCTGAAGAGTGCTTCTCGTGTGCCGAATCCCTGCCTGAATCCGAATTGGGTGGGCCCGATTTCTTTTTCACATTTGCCATAAATTCTTCTATGGATTATTTTAATGAAAAGCTTTAGGACCTGGTTCATCAAGCTGATCATTCGGAACTGGTCGCATCGATTAGGGTTAGGCTTTTTTGGTATAGGCACAAAGACTGATTGTAGCCAGTCTTGTGGTATTTGGCCTGTACTGTATATTGTGTTAAACAGTTGCACTAGGATCTCAATATTCTCGTCATCCAACAGCTTCACCGATTCCATATAGATATCGTCCGGTCCCGCTGCTTTTCTCTGCTTTCCTTGTTTTATAACTTTTAGGACTTCGGATTTTAAAATTTCGGGGGAATTATCTCCCGTCGCGGTGTCTATAAAAGCTCTTTGGTTATTATCCCGGAAGAGTAGTTCGGTATAGTCCTTCCAGTGATTTAGCAGTTTTTCCGTGTCGGTAATGATGTTGTTATTATCGTCGAGGATGTTGTTTGTCTTACAGGGTCTTGAACAGCGCGTGGTATTCTTGAGAAGTTTATGCATGTTAAAGTGATCATGTTTTCTCTCTAATTCTTCCATTTCTTCGCACCTTTCTTGCAGCCATTGTTCTTTGGCCTTGCGTATCTCTTTTTTAACTCGTCTGTCAAGCTCCCTGTATCTGATTTGATCTTTATTCTTATATGAACGGCGTTCAGACATCAGCCCAAGGATCTCGTAGGTCATCCATTCCCTTCTCTTGTTGATAGGTGGTCCCACTATATCATTTGTGGTGGTGGTTATCGCGTCCTTCAGTCGATTCCAGACAACTTCCACATCCGCTGGTTGATGAGGCGAGTTTCTTACTAAGCTGACTGCTCTGTTTATCCTCTGGTGTACCTCCGTCCTTATCTCGGGCCTCTTAATGTTGTTTATGTCTATCTTCTTCTTATGTGGCCGTCTTATTTTCTTTAATTTAATATTGAGCGTTCCCACCACTGGGTTATGGTCTGAGCCGATGTCGGTACCAGGGTAGGTTCTGACTCCGTGCAATCCGTTTCTGTATCTCTGGCTGATTAGTAGAAAATCTATTTGGTTTCTCACTATATTGTCCGGTGAGTGTTGTGGTGATTGCCAGGTATATAGCCTTCTTAACGGGAGTTTATACCATGTATTTGCGACGACCAGTCTTTCTTCTTGGCAGAATTATACCAAGGTATCGCCTCTTTTGTTGCGGTCTCCGAGACCGAAATCTCCGACCACACTGTCCACTCGACCTCGACCAATCTTGGCATTAAAGTCGCCCATGATGATGAGAACTTCCTTCTTTCCGGCTAGCTTCATCAGTTCTTTTATTTCCTTATAGAGTTGTGCCATTTCGGTGTCCGGTTTATCCAGTGTTGGGGCATATACCTGTATGATATTAATGTCAACTGGGGCAGCTTTCAGCCGTATGAGAGCTGCCCTATCCGAGTGGGCTATGGAGTTTTTTACGGACTTCCTGATATTTTTGTGTACTATAAAACCTACTCCGTTGCAGTGATTGTTATGATTGTTTCCGGAATAGTAGAGTGTTGCTTTTTCGGTCGTGCATTGGCCACTGTTCGGCCATTTAACTTCACTGAGGCCTAGTATGTCTATTTCGTGGCGTTCCATTTCCTGTACTAGATAGTCCAATTTCCCTGCGGTATACAAGGTCCTTACGTTCCAAGTACCGAGTCTACAACTCGATTGTTTTCCACTTTCGGGTGGGTCCTAGCATTATTCCTCGCGGGTATTCTTCGCACCCCCTGACTATTTAAAGTCTGCCGCGGACTGGGGGCCGTTGTTTGTGATACTTCTACCATAATTGTCTTCTTGGAATATCTTAGTGATCTTTAATACAGTGGTTTCCCATTGCCTTCTGTATCCTTACGCCGTTGATTACTGTTAGTAATTCGTCCGCCTTTGAGGTCGATTTCTCAACCTCAGGACAAAAGAGTGCCCTTTCCCCTACTTGCTCATCCGCCCTTAGCCGTTGGCAAGTTAGAGGTGGAATGCTTATCCCGGCATTCACTCGGTCGTCAGAGCCTCGTCTGTTATCTAGCAGGGTGCACCGGACAACATTATAAGTTATCACACGAGCAGGTGAGGTTGACATTTTAGCTGGCATTGTGTTATACCTTCGCCCCATACACAGATATACTATTGTAAAATATAGGTTATGCGGAAGTGCAACCATTGAAAAATATTTCTCAATGTCAAATATTTGGACATTCAGCCCTTCCCCTTCCAAATTTCAAATCGCTATCTCAATCCGTTTAAAAGTTATAGAGTGTTCCCACGTTCTTGTGTCACCCGGTATATACATGTTTATATTTTAGTGAACAAGAAACAACTTCCGTCTGTTAAATATATTACCTTGTATATTAAGGACTTTCTGAATTCTAGAACTTGCTAGGCCTTATTTTATTTACAATATGCCTTCAATAAATGAAATGACCCCCAGTAGCTCAGCTACAACTAGAGGTACTTATTTCTAGACATACAGGGTAATTGACTGATACTCGGTCCCAACTTAGGGGCATGTTCATCAGCTTGATATAAGAAAAAATGTTGTAAACGCGGGTACGAAAGCGCTATCCACATAGAAGAGTAAATAAATCTTACGCTGAATGGGGCAGTAAAAATGGCTATCAATTAAAGGGTAAAAAATCAAAGGAATTGCAACATATTGTGTAATATCCAGTTTATGCATATGGAAACCACTATCTGGTCAGAAAATTGTATCAAGAGGCATTTTCCAATTGTTACTTTACTGGAACTCAGAAAAATCATTGCCAATTGAGAGAAATATTTTATAGTAAAAAGCATGTTTGAAGTATTTTATCTCTTTTCTTTTGTTAAAAAATTGTCAATGTTTCTGAACGTACTAAAACTCTACGGAAAACAAATAGTTTCCGAACGTAAGGCGTGTCCGTGCAACCGGCCACAACATTTTAATTGTAGCCTATAGCATGTAGTAGGTATTTAAATTGTCTGATACATTGCATAACATTTTCTGTATATTAGTTTTTGGGTACATTTTTGTAAAACAATAGGAGTACATTCACTGACATGACATGTCAGAATTGACAAATGTCAAAATTCAAATCGCACGGTAAAATCTCCGAAAACATCCGATTGACCCGAAACGCGTGCGCTAAAATCCCGGAAATGTCCGAAGTGGCTCGAATCCGTGAGAAACGAAACTGATGTGGTGAAGTGACGCTTCCCGCACACTTGATCGGTATGTAATTAGGTATTTTACAGACGGTAGTAGAAAAAATTTAATAAAATTAAATTTCTAAGTACATGGGGTGGGGGGCTCTGGATTATTAGTCGTCAAGGAGCAAATTTTGATTAATATTATAAAATTGCTGTCTCGATACTGGAACTGACATTTATATTTCCACAAACACTTCAACTCTAAAAAGCAAGAAAGCCGACAACGTTAACCTTTATGCGCCCTAAGCGTTCTCATTAGCCAACAACCTTGAAACGTTATTAATAACAACAAACAGACTGAAAGGCAGAAACAAAAACGTTATCGATTCTTTGCATTTTAAAGGCAACGCCGCTTTTATTTGCCTGAGCCTGCCATTGAAGCGGAAACGTCGGTTTCGTTGGATGTTTTTAGGGCAGCCGACAGCCAATGCCGATTGATAATTCACGCCACCGACCGCCGGCACCGAGACGGTAAACGTCGAGGGCCGCGGCAGGTAGTCGACGCCGTGACGTCATTTTCAGGGTCGACAGGCACCGCCACCCGTTGAGTCGGGGTAGTAAAATGATACTCCACCATATCGACCGGAAAAGCTTATAGTGGCGGAACGTTACGATGCGTTTGTCGATTGCCAACTTGTCAGGGTCACAGGATAAGTAACTATTTGTTGATTTCCGTAATATCTCAGAGAGCATGCATATTTTCATGACAGAAGAAAACATAGGAAATGATTTAAGTATTGTTGTCCTAGCCAATCATCCAAACGATTTCTTTACTGTTTGTATGATATTGAAAAATTGTCAACACAAAAGGCAGGACCCAGGAAACAGGGGCTAAAGAAGGGTCAGTTTCATATAATTACACAAAATAAATTTAATGAACTCGTAAAAAGATCTTCCTCTTATGAGACGTGTCAAACCACTAAATGGATAGTACCAGCACTCCGTGAAATGCCCCCCACACTAACAAAATCAGTCTTCCAGTTCCGTCAAACTATATATTTGCGAAAATTTAACTTGCCTTTTCTCATTACGAAAAGTCTTGCTCGAGGTTCGGCTCCTCGCGGACGCGGTCAAATGATTGATGTACCGAAGTTTGCAGTGTGTATCATTTCTGAAAGCTACATTTCCAATAAAGTAATATTGATCAGTTTTTTGTTTTGATATGTTTTTCCTTGTTGTGTAAATATTGAACTTTCAGAAACATAAATTACTTGCAGTGGAGCAACCAAAATTAGTACATTGGCATTGTTGTTCTGGTTTCTATTCTTAGTTTAAAGCTCAACTCAATGTTGCCGATATCGATATATTTCATGTATAGTATGTGTGCTTTGGTCTTTGGTAGAATTAAAGATGAAAAAAAAAAGCTCGCAAATTTTAAATAATGCTAATAACGAAATCAAAATATTGGTAACACGCTAAATTGGACTTAAATGGAAGTATCCAAACTAGTTCAGATTGCTCGGATGATTTACAAATCAGAAAAAAACTTTCGAAGAACTATTCTTGTTATATTCAGGTTCTTGGCAACAGACGTTTATGTTCCATCAATTAGGGTGATGTCAAAAGTTTGAGAATTATTTCGGGTGCAGTTATTCCTGTTTTGTTGGCCAACGTGGTCTCACGTGTTTCAAATTTCTGCCTTTATATCCATTGAATTTTGCGTGCCAAATACACTGATATAATTTATAATTGTCAAGTAATTCTATAACATCTATAGCACCATCATTACAAGTCTATTTCTAGTTATTTCGTTTCGAGTGCGGCGATTTGTAACTAACAATAGAAAGCACCAATCGGAATTTGTTTCTAAAACAAAGCGTTACATTTAACAACTCTCTTGAAATTCTTAACATTTAGTCAAAATCAGTTTTCTTGACTAAATTTAAAAAATAAACTTTGCAACGAACATAGAAAATATATTTATATATTTAATTTAAAATTTTTTATTTAGTCGAAATTGCTGGCGAAACGAAAGTAACTTCCAGTTTTGTATATAAAAAATAAAATAATTAAAAATATCTATTTTTTATGTCATTGTATAAGTTGGATTTAGTTAAGAATAATGGATTAGACTACACGTTAATTCAATCTTCTTCTTCTGCTGCATATCCATTAATGGATGTTCGCAATCACATTTGTCCACTCTTCTTTATACCTTGTTGTACATATTAGTTCTTCCATTGTCCTCAGTCCTGTCCACTGTCTGATGTTGCGAAGCCAAGACATCCTTTTCCTGCCGATTCCTCTCTTTTCTACAATCTTCCCTTCAATTCTCAACTGTAGGAATTGGTATCTTTCGTTACGTATCACGTGGCCTATATACGCTGTTTTTCGGCATTTGATTGTGTTCAGCAATTCGCGGTCTGTATTGATCATTCTCAAGATCTCATTGTTTCTTGCCGTCCATGGTATCTTCAGTATACGTCTGTAGATCCACATCTCGAATGCTTCAATCTTGTTCATATGGCTCACCTTTAGTGTCCATATCTCCATACCATACATACAGTAATACAGGCCAGACGTAGCATTTTATAAATCTAATCCTTGGCTGAGATCGAGATCGGTATTGGTGAGTACTTTTTGAATTTGATAACGCACCGCGGGCATTTTCAATTCGACATTTGATTTCTGTGTCGGATTCCCAGTTTTCACACAGCCACGTTCTTAATATTTAAATTTATTTACTCGTTCTATTGATTGATTGTCATACATTAGGCTTGCGTTTTGAAATTCTTCGGGCTTACGAGTAATTCAAATTCAATCTTCTCCACTTATTAAAAAAAAAGCAGTAATGTAACAATTTACTGCTATATCTATTTTCGTTTTTAAGAGAAAATCATTATTTTTCGGTCATATTTGGTTGGATTTTGACTCTACGTTTGTATAACAAAACTTCCCTTTAACATTTTCGCATTTGTTTTAAGGAACGCAATAAACTGCCGAAACGTCACTCAGATAATATAATATTAGTAATTAGGTTACGTGTTTTGCAAAAGTAAATCAAGCCATTGCCTCGTAACCAAGCAAGTAAATGTTTCACGAAATTTTTGATTGTCCAAGGGTTCCTTGCCGATTGCGCTGCGACGTGGAAATTTTACCTCTTTAACCTACATTTTCATCATTTACTGTTGTGCTTTTGTTCGGTAAAATGTATGACCTAAATGTGCGCCTCCATGGAATTTAAATTGTTGGAAATTGGTACGGTGTCGAGAGTCACGTACATCCTTGCTTCTATCAAATCTACCGGGATTCTAGTAAAGTGTTACCCACATCAAGCTATAGTCGAAGATTAGACTTGCGGACACGAAAAGCGTTATCCTACACGTTCAATTTGTTGCTCGTGCTAAACACTTTCTGATTGATTAGAAAATCATAATATCCTCCGACACGACGAACTTATAAATACACATCTAGAATCTTAAAATATATTTAATATAGCGCTGATGTGTAAAAATCAAGAGGAAAAGAGCTTTTTCGTACTTTTGCCAAACAAGAAATCAATCACGAAAGATTTAAACCGCTATTAGTTCCAGTTTAAGCTCGATTTTGACCACCATTTATACCAGACCTTTTTTCCAAAACTATTTGCAATATGACCAGA